GCCACTGAAAACCCTTCCCTCTACACGGTCACCTGCCACCTCGCAGTCCTCTCCCTAACTACACCAAAACCTATGCTCTTGCATCAGCAGGACTGTGCTTGCCTGCAGAGATGTGATGGTGCCCAGCCATACACATTACCCTAAACTCTTCCTGCAACATGGTGTTGCAAGGGTTACTGAATACAGGAACAGACAGCTGCTCCAGAGGCAAGCAAGACAGCAAGAGAGAAATATTTATTTTATCATCTCACAATTTCAGCAAAGCACCTTACAGAAGTTTTAGCTTAAGCAGATGCCTACATCCCTCCCTGCTAAGTAAAGCACATAGGCACGTACTTAGGTGTTTTGCTGAGCTGTAGCACAAGTCAGGATTCCAGAGCACAGCCTGCTGCAGGCCGTCATTCAGACTTCAGGTTCTTCTCCGACACTTTTCATTCAGATACATGAAAAGTATCATGACTGTGCTGACTATATACCCATCTGACGGAATATAAGCAAGGAGTCAATGCGCTCTATCACATATACGAAAGGTTGGCAAAGATTATCTAAACAGCAAAAACGCAAGCAACTCCATATTCACAGAAGGAATAAAGGCAAAGATTCAGAATTTTATTGTCATTAACAGCCAGAATCCCTGATAATAAGAGATGCGAGTATACCATCAAAGATCTAGGGATTAGACTGCAAACCTTTTGAGCCCTCAGTATTTCTCACAGGCCAACATACATATTTCTAAGTAACTTAACAGAAATGAAGAAAATATCCTGAAAAAAACGCTTCAGTATGGTTCTAAGATCCAGCTGTAGCCTGCTGATATTGGCAGATAAGCAATGATTCATATATTGGTTTATGAACAACTAATAGAGCGATGATACAGTTGCTGTCACTGATACAGCTACTTTAGAACTATGCCCTAATACATCACGTATCGTGACCTTCCATTAAATGTACTGTACTAGCACCCAGGAGACATGTTCCTAAAGCAAACTGCGGTCATGAAATGAGATGCTATGCCTGACCCGAAGCAGAGACTGGTCCCTGTTGCAAAATGGTTAGAATCCAAGACAGAAGCAATATGAGATACATTAAGTGTCTTGACAAGTTTGTTGGCAAGGGAAAGCATAGGGGAAGTTTAACTGCAGTGCTTTCTTCTGTTTAGTTACTCTCGATATTTTAAACTACATTGCAGTTTTGCATTCAGACTTAAGTAAACCAAGCTGGTTTGCTATCCAATGCGAAGCCCTTATCAGTAGCAATATGCTGTCAGATTTAAGTACTTTTATTATTCACTGGCAGTATTTTAAATTCTCACTTCCTATTAGAAAACCTGAAGATCAATAATGCTAAGGGAAGATGTACTCTCATTTAACATCTTCGAAACTATGCCAAGCAACTGGAATACTTTCTGAAATCAAACGCTCTTTCAGGTAACACAGATTGAGCTGATTTATGTTTGTGTATGGTCTCCACAATGTCCTTTTAAATACAGTTGAAGTGATCAGATTTATAATTGAAAAAGCTTAGTAAACTCCTAAGTTGTTATTTTCAAGAAAAATACTAGCCATCATCCATATTTTCTTTCCCTTTCCTTTGTAAATTCTTACAAAAAGACAAAAATCCAAGTCAGGTTTAAAAAATTTTGCCCTTGAGGTAAAAGAAAAAAAGAAGAAAAAAAGGAAGGGAGGAAGAAATCTGAAAGATACCTGCATAGGTACAACCTCAAATTACATTAAATGTGAATATATTTTGTGACTTTTAAAACCAGCTCAAAATTTTTCTTTTATTTTCTTTGGCAACAGCTGATTATCTCAGATAAAGAACAACATTTCCTCTGCAGCTTTAAATATTTGCATAATTAATAACTTTGGTGGCAAGCACATAAAATTGTGGACTCGGTTTCAAGCAGAAAAGGAAATGGACTGTAAAAACTTCTGTGTGTAAGAGCTTTTCTTATTAAAGAGTAGACTAGAAATAACTGTGTGGGGATGATTTTTGTAGCAGAGGAACTTGCAAACAAGGAAGAAATAACACTGTGTTTGGAAAATAATGCTAGAGAAATTCAAACATCAGTATGAAAAGTTTCATTAAATGGCAGCAGTTAAATACTAGACCTTACCTAAGAACACAGTGATTCATCTACCACTTGCAATCTTTAAATCAGACATTTTTCTACAAAATATGTTCTAGACCCTGCAGAAACTGCTTACAGCAGGAATCACTTTTTCAATCTCTATTCCCATCCCTTCCCAGGAGGTCAAGACAATAAACCTTTCAGATGGATACAAATTATTCTATCCCAAGAGGAGCAAAAAGTAGTAGTAAGTAGCTACTTATTTTCCGCTAAAAATCTTCCTGTGCAGAGTCCAGAAGCACTTACCCTGCCAATATATGAAGAAACTGCCAAATGCTCCCCTCCAGCTCCACAGTAATGAATGGTAAATATTGTTATATATTTCATTTTCCATGCATATAATGCCACCGCTGCAACGTTACCATGCCAGGCAAGAAAATACAACCTTATCCTAAGTCTTAAAAAAAACTAGAAGCAGGAAGCAGAAATGCTGCTTTGCAAGATTCCTCCCCATTTTGTTTAATATCTAAGATATTGATTTCATTGACCATACTGGAAATTTTCAAAGAAAATGAAAAAAAAACCTGAACATATAAATATTTTTTCTGTGTTTATCAGAAATACAAAAGTATTAGTAAAACCCTTATTTATCCCAATTTTTTCCTCAATTCCCATACACACACATACTCTAACAAGAAAAAAGTCCATTCTTTCCCTTTTTTGTACCACCGGACTTCATTGCTTCTTTCGCAAATAAGCACAGGAAAACACCTAATTGCAAGCTTAGGAGTTCTCATATTGGCTAAGAAAAACATCACTGCAGAAAGACTGGATATCAGTACAACTGTGCTGCTAATAAAACACAGGGCCTTTCTTTATTAAATAGTATTTCTAATATTATTTTCACAGATGGAAAAGTTCATAACTGTACAATCTCATAGCTTTTAGACTAGATTGCTTACGACCTCTGTTTTTCACATGATACTAGTAAAATTATGTTCCATTGTATGAGTTTCTAAGATGGATTTTGAACACGACAAAAGAAACCTGTATCCAAGCAAGTGTTTAGCACCAAATTCTACATTTCTTTTTACCACATCTGGAAAACTCTTAAAAGAAGCTTTTATCTTATCACAGGCTGTAGAATAGAGTTAAAAAAGACAATAAACTACATGTTTTAAATAAACAATATTTAATATAACTCAATCCATAACCCTTTAGTTTTATTGTCCTGGGTTTTGAAATTAATAATATTTTCATGCATAGAATATTACGCACAGTAATATGACTGCCAGCGTTCTTAGATGAGTGACCTCACGGAGTTCTTGACCACCCAGAGTAATAAATGGAACTAACATAAGGATCTTCTTCCATTATGTACTTGCCTGCTTTTAGTGACCACTTTAATTGACAATACTGGGTCTGTAATAACCTTATTTGACAATCAGGAGCAGTATTTTTCAAGTAGGGTGGGGTCAAAGGCAGTTGCTTTGTGAATTTAACAGATGATAACAACAAATTCATCAAAAACTGCTTTAGGATTTAATTAGCCAAACAGTCTTGACTGGAAAAACATTTTCTGCCAAACACAAGAAACTGTTCTTCTTGGCAATAGCACTGTTCTGGCTTTACCCAGTACCAGAATCTTTGGCACTGACTGCAGACAGAAACCAGTCCAAAAAAGAAACTAAGGGCATCTCAGCAACTGTACGGTCACTGGAGTAGCTGGGGGAAAAGGAGTGGCAGGAAACTAAATTGAGCCTCCCTTCTCTTACCCTTAAACTACTGGATAACAAATAACCAGAGCTGGTCCTGGAACAAAAGACTGACCATACTTTTCTCCCTTTTTATCCTTTCTTTTGAAATGCACTTACCTTTGTTAAGCCCATTTCATTCTTTAGAATATATCATAAAGCAACAATTCAATTCAATCACATAGCTTCCTACAAATGAAAACCAGTTCTAGTTATGACTGAACACTGACGTTGACTAATATAATTGAATTATCATTTCCCATGCAAAGTTATTCTGAATTTACATATACAGTCACCAAACTTTTAAACTCCTACCTTCCATAGAGCACTCCTTAACAATACCCTATTCTGCACAAAGCCTATTGTTATTCCTTTGATTATAACACCTGGAGTAATACAAAGATCCAATTATAAAAACACGAAACAGATGGTCACTATTGTGTTACTTGTGCATTTCTTCCT